TCATCCATCTCAAAGATGAGTTATTAGAAATTGTTTATATTTTTATCTCATAGTTTACTACTTTAAATGTTTAATACAACATAATCATATTTGTTTGAATCTTTTGAATCTCTTATTCATTGATGTGTTTTAATTTTGATATATTTTTTAAGGGAAAAATACCAACATCTTCTAAAAATATGAAGGATTTCATATGTAATGAAGTATTGAGTTATTTCTTATTTATTTTTGAGAAGATATTATAATATTGTAATTGAGAATTGATTATTACCATTAATATTTTCAATAATTTCTTCCAAAGAACCAAATACATGATTTTCAAGTTTTCGCGAAATTTATGGCAGTTCAATGAATAGTGTCGTTGAAACCGTCAAGTTAGACGTCTGCGGTCGAACTCGACATTTACTAACTGTTGAGATAGACAATTTAACTATCGACTTTGATAATTGAAAACTGTTGAAACCCTTTATTTTCCTTTCTACTATTATAAGAATATAAATATTCGAAAGCTCCAATTTGATGGTATTAAATGTCAACATATGGAATGTGTAATTTTTTTTTTTTAATACACATTTGCAATCCTAATATTTCAAGCATGAATCATCACTTAAGATTCAATGTGTCGCATAGAAGAAAGTTTGTTCAACCCCTAATGTAATACAAGTTTTTTAAACAACCGCTTGATGTCATTGTTGACGTGTATGTCTAATGTTCCCCTACTACGTTGTACATTATCAAATTATATGATCATTTTGTTATCATTATCGTTTGCAACCATTATTGTTCTTTATGTTGTCATTATCTAACTCTACTACTGTTGATAATAATTCAACTACACCATTTAAAAACTGCTATTACAATCTACTAAAAAATCCCCACCAAATACTTTCTTCGTAAGTTGTAAATAGTGGACTCAATTGAAGCATAAACGATAAATATCACTAATGTTAAATCGTATTACTATGGAGAAAAGGAGGAAGACAATTACAAAATTGGATTGAATTATTTATTACAATATTAGAGGTGTAGTGCTTTTTTTTTTTTTTTTTTTTGAATAAGCAACTTACCATTTTCGTTATCTTTATTCCCTTTTATCATATTTATAACTTATTGATTTCACTGGAGCGCACATATCTTGCATAAAGGTATTTTCAACTTAGGGTGTTTCCCAATACATTCTCAACTTATATTATTATCTTCAACTTACATCTTCATTATCATTCCCACATCATTTACAGACAGGTAAATACATGTTCAACTTCCCAAGTAAAATATAAATCCATAGACAACATATTGCATGACAGACTGACGGTTCATCTATTGTTCTCGACATATTGTTTCTACCATTCTCGACACTTAGTCCGAAGTACACAAAAAAACTACACGCAAGAGACATGCTCATGCAGAAATTTTGGTAAATACATTACCAAATTCATCCCTAAAAAGATAGACTATACATAACTTATTACACAACTATATTTTATTAATGCCCACTTCATTCGTGATCGACATTTGAACCTTCTCCCTCGTCATCAAAATATGAATCTTAAATTATGAATACCATTTTTCATAAAGTTTCATTTTGTGCTGATAGTTCAATTGTCAGTCACGACAAATTGTATGAATAATTTTTGACAATTCATTGCAAATGAGTAATGTACACTGAAAATTTTAATGTAATGGGGATACAGACCATTATGTACATACATTATCACGTGAATCCCTAATAGAAATTAGAAACCATAAATATAGTTGACGTATAAGCATAAATAGTTGCAAAATTAACAAATTCAACTATGTTACCATTGAATTTCACATAGAAGCACACAACGTTTAAGTGACGATTACAACTAAGAGCATGTTTGATAGGGATTAAAAGTCAATTAAAATCAATTTTTTTACCGTAATTTCACTATTTCAGCTGTCATTTTTTAATTCTTCTCTCACAGGTAGGACCAACTTTATCTCTAACGGTTAAAAAATTAATTAGCAAAATTCCTACTAAACAAGTCCTAACTAAAATATTTGGAAAAAGTTACACAAAAGTATTATCAAGATATGTTTTCATGCAATAGTCCGGCCCTAAGCACTTAGTTTGTCCCTAAAAAGCACTGTTGTTCCGCTTGGAAATCTCTAACTTATGAATAAGGATTTGTCCCTTCTAATGTCATGTTTAAGTGTGAAATAAACACATCCAAAAGTACTATAACGTCATTAATGACTTAAAACAGCAGTTATGTTATCCTTGAGAGAATGTGGCTATTTCCCTAGTCAACGTCTACAATGTATCTAATATGTTACTTGATTTAACTTTGGTTTACTTTTTATCTACTCCTCCCGTGAATGGAGTCCTAGTTGATGCAGCAGGTACTCGAACACGTGTTAATCGTTGCACATTTGCGTTAGCGTCATCGTCACCTTGAACGGGCATAGTTGATGCCAATGATACATGAGTGTGTATTCCTTTGCAAAAGTGGTTTGCGTCGTATTAGTTACCAAAATTTAATAATGGAAGGGTCAAGTTATGGCAAACATGATAAGTGTTATATTCATAGTTTCAAATAGCACCACTTTTTATATACTCAACCATAAGTTTTACATGTAAAACGCAAAGACATTTTCGCGAATAAAAATAGAATTATCCAACAGTTAAAACGACATTCAAATAACCTTGAATAATCATATAAAGACACACTTAACCAAGCTTATGTGTGCATGTTGACCAGAATATACTCAGTTCAATCTTAGCTCATTTCACAAACTCAATTAAATTCAAACTCAATTTGTCCAATAATGACCAATAACCATTATTTACATGAAAGAAAAGTAAAAAACATAACTATAAGAAATAAATTCATAGATAATTTATATAAACTATAATGTTAATATTTTCGTAGAACTAGAAAAATAGACAACAAAAATCGAAAAAAATGAGGCAAATTGTACCAATTCAGGACAAAAAAATTGTGAAGAATAAAAAAAACAAATACCCCTAATTTGAAAAATCAGAAGAGAAGCAAGCAACAAATGCAAAAGGAAAGAAAAAAGAAAATATCAAGAGATTAATGGTGATCTTTGTCGACGGTGGACATATTAATAGTCTTTTGGCTTCAAGCCTGGACAAAAATGGAAGATTTTAGCATCGCTAGGTGCCTTGAGTGAGAGGAAATGAGAGAGAAAATTGAGCCATTTAGGTTTAAGGAATGAGAGAAAGAATTTGAGGATTTTTACCTTTTTAGTGTGTGTGTGTGTGTACACATCGGATTTGATCTCCTAAAACTAAGCACCGTAATTAGGTGGCACACTACAATAGGTGGTGTAATTAATTTTAAAACTAATCATTGTCTTGCAACACTTATTGTAATGTGCCACGTCACTCGGTGTATATATATAAGTAGTGAAGTGAGAGCATTTAATGTGATGTTTTAAATTTTTTTGTACTATTTTTTCATAAGTAGTGAAGTGAGAGCATTGGATGTGATGTTTTAAAGTTTTTTGTACTATTTTTTCATATAGCAAATCAGTTTTTAATGAAGGACATGTAGAGTATTTGAATTATCTGGAGGGGTAAAAATGTTCAAAATTGACAATCTTGTAAAGACTTTAAAAAAATAATACTTTCGAAAAGGTAATTAGTACAAAACGTCCCTACATTTCATGCTATTGTGGAAAACGTCCATATCTTTCATTTTTTTGGCATTTTTGCCCTATTTCCACCTTTCTTGGCGTTGAACATCATTTTTACAAATTTTGGACAATTTTACCCTTCATTCAAATAAAACAAAAAGAAAAGAAAGGAAACAACAAATAACTAATTGCAACCACAGTCCCCAATTTTTAAAAATTACAAATTAATCATGAATATATACAAAATTTTCAACATAGGTGCCAACAAACATGGAACCTTTACTAAAATTTTCAGCCAATCTATGCAGTAGTCTGATCTTAGAAGCCTCATAAGAGAGCATTTGAAGCTCTGATATCCCATCCATGGCCATCAGGTTACTGAAGTTTGCTATAGAAAGAGAAGAGAAAAGCCTTAGACAGGAAAAAGAATTGGCTGAAAGTAAAAAAATAACGATGTAATTCGGCATCTGCAACTTCCAATGGGTACATATATAAATACATATAAGCAAAAGGGAACCTGTAAAGGAGAGGGCCTTAAATGAGTATTTTTCCCTGTGAATGAATTTCTTGAAAGAAAAAGCAGAGGGTTTTAACTGGAACACAACTCCGATATGCCATATCCCCTTTCAATAACTTGAACAAATTTGATTATTTTGTTGAGGGCTTCATCATATTTGTGACACTATAAATAAAGATTTGTACTTATTATTGTGATGGTTAATAATGGAGGCTCCTTCAGAGTAGAGATACTGCTCAGTGAAGAAAAAAAAATGGTGATAAAATTTCAACATAGTTCATTTCTTGAGCTTCAAAAGAAGAACATGAAATTTCGTGGCTAATTTTACTAAAGTAGCAGGGAATTTCGAGTTCTTTTTTGGAGAATTCAACAAAAAGCTTGAAGGCTCAATGGAAAGCAAATGGCCTTTGAAGAAGAGATCATCAGATGGAGATAAAATTACGTTATGATCCTTAAGGAAATTAGGTTCCATGGTTGGCACCTATTTTGTAAATTTTGTATATATTTGTGATTGATTTGTAATTTTTTTTAAAAATTGGTAGCTGTTGTTACAATTAGTTATTTGTTATTTCCTTTCTTTTCTTTTTGTTTGATTAGAATGGAGGGTATAATTGTCCAAAATTGGTGAAAATGACGTTCAGCATCAAGAAATGTGAAAATATGGACAAAAATATTAAAAAATGAAAGGTATGAACGCTTTCTACAATAGACATGAAATGTAAGAACATTTTGTGCCAATTATCCCCTTGAAAATGCAAAATCAAAAATTGACTATCTTGATAATTTACACGTTAATAAATAAAAACAGTAGGATCATTCAAAATCCAAAATTCTGGATAATCAAGAATATGTAGGATTTGATCGTCACTTCACCCTCCTAACAGCAATTTTATCGTCCGGATCTTTTTCATTGCTTTTGTTAAACAAACTATCAGACAAACTGATCATAAATAACACATACTTTTCCACTCTAATCCCAATAAACCTAACTCCAACTCCCTCCCACAAACTCCATTTTCACTCCCACTTATATCAACACACTGTAAGGAAAGAAGAAATCAATGGCGACTAAACACGAGGACTTACCAGTACCCATTTTCACTTCTCTTGAACCCGTTTACGGAACCGGCTCCCAGCTAGAAGAATCGGAACTTCGATTAACCCACTTGAAGTCAAAGTTCATTGAGTTCTTCACCCACCCTCCCGATATCTACGCCCGATCTCCAGGTCCTTTTTTGCTTCCTTACATTACATACACGTTTATGTTTATGTATCTACTGATCTAAGCCTGGCTAAAGCTGTAAACTTTATTAACTATGTATACTTTTGGGGCTGATTTCACTATCTTGTTGCTTTGATAAAAGTTGGTAATTTATGTTTTTCTGGACATTCGATCTGAGACTGAGAGGCAGGGAGATAATGTACTTCGGTTTTGGACGTCTGTGAATTGAATTATTGTTTTGGGGTGTTTGTGTAGGGAGGGTGAATTTGATAGGGGAGCACATAGACTATGAAGGATATTCAGTGTTGCCAATGGCTATCAGGCAAGATACCATCATAGCAATACGGAAAAACGACACCAAGATGCTTAAGATTGCAAATGTGAATAGTGAGAAGTACTCTTTGTGTACTTACCCTGCTGATCCTGAACAGGTGTGCTTAATCCTATATTTAACGCTTATCTTTCTCTACTGCTTGAAAATAGAATCATGTGTTGTAGTTGACTTCAATGACTTCGTTTTTGAAATAGGAGAGTCCTGTCATAATTTTGGGATTTTATTTTCGGTTTTCTATTTTAACTAACAAATTCGTGATGCTACAAAGTTCAATACATATTTTTTGTTGAGAGATCCTGGATTATATGCTGCTTATTCTACCCAATTTGAAACTAAAGACCATATCAGAAATGGGAGTTTCTTGTATATGATTTATATGAGCATTACTTTAATTGATAAATATTTAGTTCGGAAAAGATCCAAAATGCAGTACAGAAAAGCCTTTTGTTCTGTTACCAGAAATAATACTCCATTTAGTAAAGTTATGTAGATCACATGGGGCTAAGTTAATGCATGTTACTTATACCTTTCTCCTCTAATCTATTACCACATGTTAAATTTGCTCACTATTTTCTTTTTTATTTGCTAGGAAATTGATTTAAAGAATCATAGATGGGGTCACTACTTCATTTGTGGGTAAGAAATTTGATTTGGCATTGCAGTCATTTTCTTCTACACTTATTGATCATGGTTGTTGACAGACCATCAGTTGTCCTCTTCACGGCTAAGAATAATTTAGTGCAGAGCTACATACATGGCTATTCTTCTTCCACTGGCAAGACTAGTTATTTTTATCTTGCAGGTACAAAGGTCTCTATGAGTATGCCAAATCTAAGGGAATAGATGTCGGTGAACCAATCGGACTTGATGTTGTTGTTGATGGCATAATTCCAACTGGTGTGTTACTTATCCAGCTTAATGCATATATAGGATTGAAAGTCGGCAATCACCTATGCAACATATTGTTGAATAGAGAGTGTAACGTTGGTTGATAGTATTCTTTGAGAATTGGATCATGCTCTTTTTCCTCATTTAGGATCTGGACTATCCAGCTCTACTGCATTTGTTTGCTCTTCGACAATTGCTATAATGGCCACATTGGATATGACCTTTCCTAAGGTATTGTGACCATTTGTTCGTTTGGTGATTTGTTTCCATAAATCAGATCAGAAGTGCCTGCATGACATAAAAGTATTGGCTTCTGTGTTTTTGCTTCTTTAGAAAAGAAGCAGAGGATAGAAAAGCAGTCAAGATCACTTTGTCCAATTCAGGAGTTAAGTTGTTAGGTCTTTGTCCCGTCTAACTTTTTTTTGTTTATTTTTACTTTTCAGAAAGAACTTGCTCAAGTTACATGTGAATGCGAAAGACACATTGGCACCCAATCTGGTGGAATGGATCAGGTAAGTTATCTTCTTTCTAAAAAAAATAAATCCTGAATAAAATGTCCAGGACATCTGCACAAAGCCCGAGAGAACTGTAAGGATGAAATTGTTTCTATGCTAGCTAAAATAATTCCTGTGAAAGCTTTGTTATATAACTTGTGATTCTCTAGTATTATATTTCTAATGTGATGAAGTTCTTTCTATTTAAATGCTCTACATTAATCTGCATAACTTACCATTTTATTCCTATATTTGACAGGCAATCTCGGTTATGGCTCAATCTGGGTTTGCAGCTCTCATTGATTTCAATCCTATTCGTGCAACTGAAGTGCAACTCCCTGCTGGTGGGACTTTTGTTATAGCTCATTCATTGGCTGAATCTCAGAAAGCCGTTACTGCTGCAACAAATTACAATAACAGGGTTGTTGAATGCCGTTTAGCTTCTGTAAGTTCTTTGTTTTGGCAGCTGCATGTTTGCTATCAGATGAATCGATTTCTGTGTGAGACAGTTGCGTGTTTTAGTGCTATAGTAATCTTGTGTTCGATATGGAATAATGCATCCTTTTGTTTTCTACATATCTCTGTGAAATACTGATTGTTAAGTTGTTACAGATTTTGCTAGGTATAAAACTTGGAATGAAACCTCAGGAGGCTGTAGCTGGAGTCAAGACACTTTCAGATGTTGAAGAATTGTGTGTATCTTTCGCGGGTACTCGTGGGTCTTCTGATACTGTCCTTGCTGTCAAGGTACCTGTTCTTTTGTTTTTCATCTTCTTTTGGTGGGGGAAGTCTCTATCTTCGCATCACTCTTGAAGTTACTAGTTATTATCTTTCTGAGAGTTATGATGCTTATTTACCTGGGTTCTCTAATGTCTTGTGAATATTCTCACATGTCTGTGATCATTAGGAGTAATGGTTTTGTTTTATGTTGCAAAAGGAATTTTTGAATGAGGAACCATATTGTGCTGAAGATATTGAGAAAATAACTGAAGAAAAACTGAAAGTGGTCTTTGCGAATTCCCCTTCTTCCTTGGATGTGCTGAGAGCTGCAAAACATTTTAAGTTGCACCAGGTAATTTTCTATTTGTTTAAAGATTTTGCAGTTGTGGTGTCTATGACGAATCAGCTATTGAAGTTATGTTTGCCAGAATAACCCATAAAAATGGGAACCCTGTTCATCAACTTGGAAAGTTGGTTGTTGCTACCAATGTGACTGTATTTCCCGGATACCCCTTTGGGTGAATGAACTAATTGTTTTACTAGCCTAATAAGATTTTATGTAATTTTATTCTAAATGCATTTTCAGAGAGCTGCCCATGTCTACTCTGAAGCCAAGCGTGTACACGCTTTCAAAGATACTGTATCATCAGAATTGAGGTGAGCCAGAGATTTATTTCCATGTGTACCGCAATTGTTTATAATTTATGCATTTGAGACATTTTTGTCCACATATATTTCACATTTCAACAAACCTTGAGCACGTAGCCCTGAAACTCTGACCTCTTAAGATTCTGATTTTGTGCTTTCTAACATTGAAGCTGAAAACTAGATTAATTTGACCCTTTAAACTATGAAGCCAGTAACTTGTAAGGACTTGTTATTGCAGTGAAGAAAAGATGCTGAAGAAGCTTGGTGACCTTATGAACGATAGCCACTATAGCTGCAGTGTATTATATGAATGCAGGTACAAATCCAGCTTCTTAATTTTCTTCATTCCTCTTCCCTATGGTCATAAAAGAAAATTTTTGTTTGCACTGAAATATTTATTCCAAAGTTGATTACACTTCTACTCGTGTCACTTGTATATTAATTAGCTGTCCGGAGTTAGAAGAGCTTGTGAAGATATGTCGTGATAATGGTGCTTTTGGAGCAAGGCTTACAGGAGCTGGATGGGGTGGTTGTGCTGTTGCCTTGGTGAAGGAAAGCATCGTTCCTCAATTTATCCTTAATCTTAAGGTTAGCATTTCTGTCTCCTTAGTGGTAGATTACAGCAATTAGGATGCTAGGCCTTGAGTATTAATGTTGTTCTTTTACTGGTGGCAGGAGCAATTTTATCGATCAAGAATTGACAGGGGGGTTATCAGTAAGAATGATCTTGGTCTCTACATTTTTGCATCCAAACCATCAAGTGGTGCTGCCATTATCAAATTTTAACTGCTGCCTACTAGATGAGCTGCTTTATGTATAGTAAAAAGGGTTGGTTTTTACTTGCAAAGGATTATTATTTGTATGTCGAGTCTCTCCAAGAATAAAGATGGTTGTGTTTGAACTGCTTATAAAGGTTTGAAAGATTTTGTTCTTCATCAACTGTTAATTAAAGTTGCTGCAATGAAAGTTTATTTTATTGCACCAGTGTGGCAACTTGGTTTTTCTTAATAGCAAAAAAAAAAAAAAAACAACCATTTCTTCTGGTATTAAGCCAGTACATATAGAATAAAACTAAGAGACTAAACTTGTATTCGTTTATGCTCAATATACCAACCTCATTGCAATTTATGCTTAACAACTCGTACTAAAAAGGCAGGTCATTGCATTCTGGTTTGTAGGATCCACGCTCGTTTAATATTGTAAATAAATAATCTGCTTACAAAGAGCACCACTGTGAACATTGAATTACACTTCATTGCTGCACTGATCTTCCAATGTTGACAGTCGTCATGGTACTGAGGCTCACTAATTTTTACTGAAATGATCAACAACTTCTAACAACAATGAATAACTCATAGCCTTTACTAATATTGCTCCCATACTTTATCTAACAAAATATTTGTAATATTTTCTCCAGGCTGACAATCACAGAATAAGTAAAACTTCACAAATCAAAATACAAGTATAGCACCTCACTGATCTAGCATGAGTACATATCAATCAGAACAGCATAACCATTTCTTCTGTCACTCAGGATTCTTCAGATGATATGGACGAAATTGTAGGCAAATCTTTTCTGTGTCAAGGAAAGGTGGGAACTACTTTCAAATGAAAAAGGAAAAACAAGTCAGATAATCTTTGCAAAACATGTTCAAAAATAGAACTTTGTCCCTGATTCCCCATTGCTGCCGAGAGAGAGAAAGAGGGGGAGAGAGAGAGAGAGAGAGAGAGAGTCAGTTGAACACACATCAATAACATGAAGTTCCGTTTAACAGCACCCCATCTGGTCAATAATTGGTTTTGATTGTGAGACCAACTGAATTTACAAAATGAAAGTAGCATTATGTTCCCAAGCACCTTGTGCCATTATGTTAGCTAACAGGCAGAAGGCCTGCTTGAAAATGATAAAATTTTATCTGACTTAAAGGGTAAAAAGATTGATGGGTAACATCCTTTGGATTTGAAGTCCTACTAAAGCACGCAGAAAGGCCAATGAAAGGGGAATAAAAATAATAAATAAAAAATGTGTTCATAGTCCTAATATAGATAAATACAAAATAAGGATACGTCCAAAAGAGCACGAAAGACTGCAAGAAGCAAAAATAATTATGATTAGATATCTTGCCAACAGAAACTAACACATTGATGCATTTTGAAACATATGCACATCATGAATATGCCATTGGGACAAATATTCCTTTAACAATCTACACGAAGACAAGGTAAAAAATTGATACAAAAATGAAGGCAACAGTTGGTTTGACTTGTAGAGAACCACTATACACTACAAAACTCTAAAAATTTGGATGTATGGAGGGAGGGGGAACCTAATCTATATGCACCTACTTACTACAAAAACAGTGATCAAGGAGAGAATTTATCTACCAACTCACTAAGGTGCTTTACAACGGTATATCACTAGTGTTGTAACAACTTCGGGATTTTTTTTCCATTCTTGTATTGATCTGTTAAAGTGATTGACAAATACTTGAATATATTTAGTTAGTAACTAACTTAAATTTTAATAACACCATTTTTTCTTTTGTTGCATATATGATAAGAGATTTAAATTTCTAATTGGTGGTGGGGGAACTTATACGAGGTGTTTCATCTTCCTTCATGACTTGTACTGTGTTTCTCAATGGGGATAATTTTTCAAACCCACAGAGTAAGCCCCTGTTTAGGCTCTATTATTTTCAAAATTCATTTTCAATCCCACATTCTGTCATAAAATAATATTACATATAAACCCAAAACATTTTCTTATCTTTTAATCACATATTCTCCAAAAAAATCATTATGCCAAAATACATTTCCTCCCAAAATCACATTAAAATGGAACCCAAACAGGGGCTAAATATATAAACTAGGGCATTAATGAGTGAAGGATACCTAAGCTTAATTCAAGATAGTCCCACAACCCCAAACAAGCTGCCCAATAAAATTGGTCTTATACCTTTCATAACAGGACAAAATATTAAATTACATTGAGACAAAACTAGATTCTAATTAGACGAATAACATTATAACATAAGTGGACTTCACCGTTCTAAGATCAATGCTCTTGAATGTTAATCTTTTTTTATGGCGGTGTTGTTGTCGATTTTATTCCACAAGTGGACGGATCGTAACAAGTAGTAAAGTGGACCTTTTGAGTTCGGATTATCGTTCCCACATGGACTATACTTTAACACTCAATTTATTATTCCTAACTTCTATTCAATAAAAAAAAATGATTAAATGTGATATTTAAATCTAACAACTAAAATTATCGTGAAGGCAACATAAAATGAGTGAGAATTCAATTGATAAATGGAGATTAGGGCGGATTAAATTCACCTATTAGTCACCTTTACTTCTAATATCGAGATTCATAAAATTAAAGTAGTGTTAGGTTGAATTCTTCTATTGTATTCAATTTACCCCTCTGGAGTTCTCGTTGATCCTATTTAATTAGTTCAATTCCATATCTTTATGCAAATTAACTTTAATTAAACGAAATACCAGTTCTAAAAATTTCTATAGGACCTCAGCAATTAATATAGATATCTCTACACGTTATATTAATTTATTGGTTTTAATATGTGATCTAAACAAGAATCCGCATCTCTACGTAATTATTGTTCACAAAATCATTGAATAATTGGTCAGAAAATTCAAAACATTAAAAACATAATTAAAATCTACACGTAAAATATAAAAGAATAAGAATCTTAAATAAAAGAAATAAAGGTCCCAAATATGTTACATTGTTCGCTCTAAAATTAAATTTCGTTACGCATATTAATGAAAGAAAAACAAAAAATTGGAAATTGACGGAACATGATTAATTTCCAATTTTGCTCCAATCATCCAATGCCTTTCCCTCGTCAATAGCAAGTGCTTTTTCTGTCTCTTAGTTACTGGAAGCCGAAATTATTCCTCCTTACAACTAGCCAAAGAGTGTAAAATATATATAGTATTGCTGCTTCCTCCGTTTCTTCTTCCTGTATGTGTTTGTACGTGCATATCAAAATAGTGGTTGCCTCAATATCTTTTTTTTTTTTTAACTTCCTGGGCGCGTCTGCAATTTATATTTAAAGAACCTAAAGCTCCTCAAATTCTAAGTTCTTTTCTCTATTTATATTAACCTAGTAGCCACAATTGTTGACTAAAAAAAAAAAAAAAAAAATTTCCTCTTTCTCTCTCCCTTTTTCCTTCTCTCTCTGTTTATCATTTTTTATTTTCACATTTTGTGAAGAATTTTGTTTATGGTTTCTCCACACGCATCATGTCATTAACATTAAAAAAATGATAATAACTTTAGTATATACAAACTGCTGGGAGCAAAAAAATAATAATATAAAAAAATAAAGTAGCCACAAATTTTGTCAAAAAAAAAAAAAAAAAAAATCTCCTCTCTCTCTCTCTCTCTCTCTCTCTCTCTACGTGTATATATCATAAATAAATCTCTAATAGTCACCAAATTTGTCTAAAAAGGACTCTAGCTTTTTATGCTGCCTGCAGCCCTTTTATTTCACTTTATGAAGGATTTTAGTTCATGCATGCATGTAGATGTCCAATCAACCAACAATTTAAGCTATTATTACTTAAATTATTCTTCAAGTCCTCCGTCTTTCAAGATAATGCTATTCAATCCTTGAGCCCTTTTATTCTTGCGAGCCATTTCTTCTTTGATTCAATTTAAGTCCGTCACTTTCCAAAATATAGAATTTGATCTCCAAATTCTTCAATTTTCGATTCATGGTCCAGATCAACTTTTGAATTGTTACAACTTGGTCTCAAACTTTTGCATTTTGCCCTTTTTTGCTTCATTCCTTCAATTCATTTTCCTTCATAAAATTTCACCTACTAAACATAAAAGACAAAAATTTAGGATATTATTTGTCAAAAGAACCATCAAATATCGCTATTTAAGATACCGAATAAGTGTATAAAATACAGTTATCAAATACCCCCAAATTTAAACATTTGTTTGTCCTCAAACAAAACTATAAACTAAATAATAATATACAGACAATCATGCAAAAATATTTGGATGAACAATCTAGCTTCTCACCTCAGAATTCAAGATTTAGTGTTTACTCTATAAACATGTTTCAAAATCACGATATAAAACTAATATCCACTCTTCCAATGTAAAATCGACGTGTGTGTGTGAAAAATTAAGTAGACATTAATGACACAAGTTATTCCAATTCCCAACCCTTAATGGTCATATATGTCCTTTCATCATTCGTAAGATTCACACACCCCAAAACTTATTCTTTTTCACTCTTTCCCAGTGTGTAATCTAAGTCTGAATATTTCATTACTATCATCACCCTATCGAGTTTAGGTGAACGATACTAGTTACAAGTGAACACTTCAGTGAATAGGGATTCTCCAATTATTTGGTTGCTTCGACCTCCAAAACTCAACTAGCTAATTATCTTGTATCAAAAGTCGAATCCCCCCAAATAAGTGTTAGGGCTTAACCAAGGTATTTAGTGCTTTTGCTCTTTTCATGCACTTTCTTTTCCTGATTTTCACAAGTTTTTTATTTTTATTTTTATTCTCTCTATTAAGTTTTCTAGATGACTCATGTAGCATGCTTTAGGTCGATGACTCCCAAATCAGATGACTTTAGGGCATCAGGTTTTAAACACCTTTATAGGCTTACTAACCTGAGCAAAAAAGGCTTCGAAGAGAACGAAATTTTTTTTCAAGTGCAACTTCATCCTTGATTGCTTTCTAAATGACCTTTGAAACGAGCTTTAGGTCGATAACCCCAAGTCAGACGACTTTAGGGCACCAGGTTTTAAAATAACCTTACATGTTTAATTACACGAGTCATAAAGACTTCAAAAAGAAGTTTAAAATTTTAAATGTATATGCATTGATTAGTGCAATGCCCTTTATCGCACTTATTCAAACAAATCGACCTCTAACTTAAGACTTTCGTCGAGTTTTATCATGTTAATCTATGACAATCCACACATAAGTTTCCACACATGGAATCCACATTCACATCCGCATCTTCCTACAACTATAAAGTCACCCGCAAACTGTGCTAAATTTGGTCTAAGGATAGATAATTTAATATGGTTTAGGTAAAGCATCTATGTCCAACTAGACCAATCTATCAAATGCAAGGAACAACTCATTTAATCACAATGTCAAACTCGACTCTAGTGTGCTTGTAATATCAAGTTTTGCAAAGTTGAGTTTCAATTAGTCTAGCATATATCCTATCCACCGTTCATAAATCAACACCAAATCTCAAATTAAATCATCCTTATCTGCCAGACTGTCTAACCCACATAAGCACACAACTGAACAAAAGAATTTTTTTTTTTTAATTTTAAAATTTTTTGCTTTCCTTTTCGTTTTTTAACAAACACACAAACATAAAAACATAAAAAAAGCAAAAACTAAAAGTTTTTTCACCCCCAAACTTAAAACTGACATTGTCCTCAATGTCATAAAGCATAAATAAGCACATAAAGGGGGTAGGGAAGAAAAAAGAAGAAGGTACTCCCAAAATTTTTCTGTTGAATGTGTGAGGCACTATGTGTGACGGCTGGATGATATTCTTTACCATACTTTCCTCGGATCTATGTTGGTTTGAGTGTTCCTCGATGTCATGTTCATGAAAAATCAAATTTGACAAATAAAATACAGGGAACAAGGGTTATTTAGCTCAAATAATCAAAATAACCAACAATAAATTCAAGGGCCTGAGAGTAGAAGGGATATGGGTGATGACTCCTAAAAATCGAAATGTGTCTAAATCTAATGCAACCTAATAAACAAAATAAAACTATATGCTATGTGATACGGAAAGCAAAATAAAAAGTTTGAAAATTGGGTTGCCTCCCAATAAGCGCTTTTTTAAAGTCATTAGTTGGACTTTGTGTCGCGGTTATTCTGGTACAGCTAGGTCAAGGCTTTCTTTAGAGGTGGGAAAATCTTCCATGTAGTGCTTGATACGTTGGCCAGTTACTTTGAAAGTTCCCTTTGTCTATGATGTAGTTCAACTGTGCCGTAGGGAAACACCTGTGATACAGTGAAAGGACCGAACTATCTAGATTTCTATTTTTTTGGGAAGAGCTTAAGTCTAGAGTTGTATAAGAGGACTTGATCTCCCACTATGAAAATTTGTTGCATGATGTTCTTGTCATGCCACTGTTTCGTCATTTCCTTGTGGATGGCTGCATTCTCATAGGATTCTCTTCTGAATTCCTCCAATTCATGTAGCTGCAGTATTCTTGTTTCTCCAGCCTTTTCTACGTCCAAGTTTAACTACTTCAATGCCTAGTACGCTCTATGCTCAAACTCCACTAGTAGGTGACATATTTTTCCAAAGACCAGTTGATATGGAGACATTCCAAAAGGTGTCTTGTAAGCAGTGCGATATGCCCATAAAGCATCGTCTAATTTCTTTGACCAATCCTTGCGAGATGCATTCACAGTAAGCTCCAGAATTTTTTTCAGTTGTCTGTTTGAGGTTTTCACCGGTCCACTTGTCTGAAGGTGGTAAACAGTGGCAATTCGATGTTGTACCCCGTATTTATGTAGCACTGGAATAACCGATTGTGGAAGTGAGTTCTACCAATACTTATTATGGCCCTAGGTGATCCATAGCGGTTAAAGATGTATTTTTTTTTAAATTTCACCACCACGCTTGTGTCATTTATAGGCAATGCTTTAGCTTCTACCCATTTAGAGACATAATCTACTGCCACTAGGATGTACCGATTGTTATAAGATGATGGAAATGGACCCATAAAATCAACCCCCCAGACATCAAATATTTCCACCTTCAGAATGTTGTTAAGTGGCATCTCGTGACGCCCTGATATGTTACATGTTCTCTGACACTTATCACATGACCTACAGAAACTATGGCAGTTCTTGAACAGTGTAGGCCAAAAGAAACCACATTGAAGCACATTTGCTGCTGTTTTAGTGGGATCAAAGCGTCCTCCATAACCCGAAGCATGTGAAAGGATCGATTTCATCTCATCCTCTGGCACACATTTTGTAATGATCTGGTCTGCCCCTCTCCTGTATAAATTTGGATCATCCCAATAATAGAATTTTGCTTCATGAAGCAGCTTCTTTTTCTGTTAATAGGTGAGATCAGGATCCATATAGCCACTAGCTAAGTAATTAACAATGTCTGCATATCACAGAGCATTTTCTATCTGTAATAACTGTTCATCTGGGAAGACCTCATTAATATCCATGTCCTTTGAATCCTGCAGTTGCTCTAGCCTTGATAAATGATCTGCTACCTGATTTTCTGTTCCTTTTTTTATCACGAATCTTGATGTCAAAGTCTTGTAGCAACAGAACCCATCGAATCAGCCTAGGTTTAGCATCCTTCTTCTCAAACAGATATTTCAAGGCTGCATGGTCAATGTAGATTATGACCTTTGAACCAATCAGATAGGAACGAAATTTATCGAAGGCAAAGACCACTGCTAGCATCTCTTTTTTCGTTGTTGCGTAGTTGATCTGAGCATCTGTCAAGGTTTTGCTAGTATAGTAGATGACATGTAACACTTTTTCCTTACGTTGGCCAAGCACCGCTCCCACTGCAAACTCACTAGCATCACACATAAGTTTGAAAGGTAGATCCTAATCAGGTGCTATTATCACAGGTGCAGAAGTTAACTTTTCTTTCAAAGTATTAAAGGCATTTAAGCACTCATCAGAAAAGTGAAATGACACATACTTCTCTAGTAGATTACACTGAGGTTTTGTAATTTTTGAGAAATCCTTAATGAACATTCTGTAAAACCCTGCATGCCCTAAGAAGCTTCTGATCCCCTTAACTGAATTAGGAGGCTGTAATTTTTCAATCACTTGTATCGTGGCACATAAGCTTTCACGAGGCTTGGTGCTCTTACTGTGGATGTTTCTTTCATTTCATCTTTCTCATTAGTTAGTGGTTCAGACTATGCTTCTTTCTCAGCCACTTTAACCATTACTTCTTTATATTTTCTCTTTGGTCTCTTCACATGTATCTCTGAAAGTTGTAACCCACTTTTGGTTGTAATAGCTTGCACTTGCTCTTTTGGATTGATCATTGTGTTGCCTAACAATGTCCTTTGTGGGTGTTCTGAAAGCTGTTAAGCTATATATCCAATTTGACTTTCCAATTTCTTATGGATGCTTACTGATTGTGAAAGTTGGTGTTAATCTGTTGGAACACCTTGTCCATCTTTTGCATGTATTAGTTGAACATCTTCCCCAAACTTGGTTTTTTCTCTGGCTGGTTATTGTTTGAACTGCTCCTTGCTGATTATCCGACCATCTGAAGTTTGGGAGTTACCTCCATCCTGGTTATATGTTTGTGAAAAGGGATTAAATTTTTTGAATGAAGTTGACTTACTCCTCCTAAAATCCCAAAGATGTGCAATTTTCTGTTAGATGATTAGCCCCGCAGTTTTCACATGATGGACCAGTTATCACTATATGTGCTCCTTTTGTTTGTGACTTCACCAATAACTCTACTTGTTTTATCAATGCTGCTATTTGGGCGTTGGTAGATGCTATGATGTCTAATTCATAGATTCCCGCTGCTTTTGGAGGCACCACTCTTTCTGATGAAAACATGGAATGAGTGGTAGCAATCAACTTAAATAAATCCATACATTGTTACACTAATTTCCCTATGATCGATCTGCTTGTAGAGGAATCCACTTGAAATTTGGACAGTGGTGAAAGTCCCGTGTAGAAATACTGCACTTGATTTCCAATAGTGATCCCATGATTTGGACACTTCCTCTCAACTCCTTAAATTTGTTCCATGCTTCGTGATAGCTCTCCCCATCTTTCTGTTGAAATGTTTGAATTTTTCAGTCTGGTTTTTGCTACTTTAGTTGGTGGAAAGAACTTATTGCAGAATTTCCTGGTCAGTTTCTCCCATGTGGTAATACTTCCATCCGGTTCGGCATCCAGCCATTCCAATGCTGCATCTCTCAGTGTATATGGGAATAATCGCAGCTTGATGGCGTCCTCGTTAACCCCAAGATCATGACAATTCTGGCAATTCCTGAGAACCTTGAGATATGTGTCTGGATTCTCATGAGGTAACCCGTAGAATTGCAGAGTGTTGCTCATCAAATTAATCCAATTAGCCCGTATCTGGAAGTTGTTTACACCAAATTCTGGATATACTATGCTGGACCGCGCGGGTGCTGCTATAGGCGTAAAAAAACATAGAAACTGGCAAGTCCCTTTCATTTACTTCCCTTTGCTCTTGCTGTTGATCTCTCGTGGTCATTTGTCCAATAGGCTGTATGGAGATATGATTGTTTAGATTGTCAGTCATTTGATGTTGCTGTTTTTATTTGTGTTCCTTGCATCTTCGTTTGAAGGTACGTTCTATTTCCGAATCAAACGGTTCAAGATCGTTGCCTTGGGCACGGAGCATACAACGAACACAGTTTTCTCTAGAAAAAAGAAAATAAATAAATCAAATAAAAATTAAAAATAAGATAAAATAATAAAATAATAAAAAAATTAAATTAAGGCTGAAAGTAATAGTCTCCGACAACGACGCCAAAAACTTGTTGTTGATTTTATCCCGCAAGTGGACGGATCGTAACAAGTAGTAAAGTGGACCTTTTGAGTCCGGATTATTGTTCCCATGGGGACTATACTTTAACATTCAATTTATTGTTCCTAACTTCTATTCGATAAAAATAAACAAAAAAATGATTAAATGTGATATTTAAATCAAACAACTAAAATTATCGTGAATGCAACAGAGAATGAGTGAGAATTCAATTGATAAATGGAGATTAGTGCGAAACAAATTCATTTATTGGTCACCTTTACTTCTAATATCGAGATTCATAAAATGAAAGTAGTGTTTAGTCAAATTCTTTTATTGTATTCAACTTACCCCTCTCGAGTTCTCGTTGAGCCTATTTAATTAGTTTAATTCCATATCTCTATGCGAATTAACTTTAATTAAACGAAATAATAGTGCTAAGAATTTCTACGAGATCACAACAACTAATATAGGTATCTCTATACGTTATATTAATTTACTGAATTTTAATATGTTGTCTAAACAAGAATCCGCATATCTATGTAATTATTGTTCACAAAATCATTGAATAATTGGCCAGAAAATTCAAAGTATTAAAAATATAATTAAAATCCACACGTAAAATGTAAAAGAACAAGAATCTTAAATAAAAGACATAAAGATCCGAAATAGATTATATTGTTCTCCCTAAAATTAAATTTAGCTATGCATATTAATGAAAGAAAAACAAAAAATTATGGAAGACATCACCGACCTGCAACTGGCCAAAGAGTGTAAAATATATATAGTATTGCTGCTGCCTCCCTTTCTTTTTCCTGTATGTGTTTTATATATATATATATATATATATATATTGCTGCTGCTGCTTCCCTTTCTTCTTCATGTATGTGTTTGTACGTGTATATCAAAATAATGGCTGCCTCAATATCTTTTTTTTTCCTTCCTACGTGCGTCTGTAATTTTTATTTAAAGAAGAACCCAAAGCTCCTCAAATTCCGTGTTCTTGTCTTTATTTATATTAACCTAGCAGCCACAATTATTCACTAAAAAAGAAAAACTCTCTCTCTCTCTATGTGTATATATCATAAATAAATATCTAATAGCTACCAAATTTGACTAAAAAGGACTAGTTTTTTATGCTAACCCACCTGCAGCCCTTTTATTTCCCTTCAAGAAGGATTTTAGTTCACGCATGCATGTAGATATCTAATCAATCACCAATTTAAGCCATTATTACTATTCTTCAAGTCCTCCGTCTTTCAAGATAATGTAATTCAATCCTTGTGCCATTTTATTCTTGCAAGCCATTTCTTCTTTGATTTAATTCAAGTCATTCACTTTCCAAAATATGGAATTTGATCCAAATTCTTCAATCTTCGATTTATGGTCTAGTTCAACTATTGAATTGTTATAACTTGGTCCCAAACTTTTGCATTTTGCCCTTTTTTACTTCATTACTTCAATTCCTTTTCCTTCATAAAATTTCATATATTAAACATAAAAGACAAAAATTTAGGATATAATTTGTCAAAATAACCATCAAATATTGCTATTTAAGGTACTGAATAAGTGTATAAAATACACTTATCAGGTGTTTGCTTGAATGATTAGGAGAAAGACCTTAGTAAAATTTCATGTGAATGAATAAGCTTTTCCGGTAGTACAACTATTCATTTAAGAATAGCTGGATTTAAAAGTTTTAGATGAAGGGACAAAAATTTAAAAAAAAATTCACTTTTTAGTAGTATTAACCATTGCATTACAGAGAATATTATCTTCTGAAATATCATCGCAGGAAAATGGAAAAGAAAAGAACATGATACAAGCAACAAATAGGCATACCAGAAGCCCGCCTAGAAAACCATTAACTAGAATCTAGTTCTAGCTATCAAAATAAGGATGGACAGAAAATCCAGCCTTGGCAGCAATTCCTACCAAAGTAATTGCCATGACAAGGAAATAGAAGATAAATCCCGTCAAGCCAGTGAATCCCAAAATTCTGGCAATGACTCCTCCAATAATTGACATAAACGTGCGGCTGAAAATAAGGGAAAGCCCTCGGTTCAGCATTATTAGAAAACCTAGCAATTATATAGAAGGGAAAAACTGAAAAGACTGTAGGCAATAGTATAATCGGCTTTGAAACCAAAAGTGTATACAGAAAGAATTGTGAAAGGCTTGGTTCAATTGATACCAAGACCAGCAAATGAATGTATATTTATATTCTGTACATTGCGATGAAAAAGGAAAGGACAATTGATAATTACACAGGATTACAAAACAAAGGAAATAATCAATGTAATTAAAGTTAGACTATTATGGCTGCATGATTAGCACCAAGATTCATGCCAAGATGTGTGCCGAGGGATCAGCAATTGGTCTCTGGTCTATGTTTGTTACATTAACATCCCCCCCGGGCAAGCGAATGGGGGCTGTACACACCATAAGCTTGTCTCGTAAGGGGCAAAAATGAGACGAGGAAAGTCCTTTTGTAAAGAGATCAGCAAGCTGGTCTACAGTTGAAGTAAAACGAATAAAAGCATCCTTGTTGAGAACCTTCTCGCGAATAAAGTGAACATCAACCTCAACATGTTTGGTACGAGCATGAAAAACTGGATTGGAGGTAAGGGAAATTGCACCAATATTATCACAATGAATAACAGGAGGAAATGCTAGTGAAATATGCAAAGTCTTGAGAACCATTCGAACCCAATAAACTTCAGCAACTGTCATTGCAAGAGCACGATATTCATCCTTTGTACTTGATCGAGAGACTATAGGTTGCTTCTTTGCACACCATGAGACTAGACAGGGACCAAGAAAAACACCATAACCTATGGTAGATCGATGATCATCGGGATCCCCAGCCCAATCTGAGTCACAGTATGTATGCAAGTTAAGAGAGCCACGAGTGTAGTATAGGCCACGATCAATAATACCCTTTAAATAGCGAAGAACACGCTTGGGAGAGGACCAATGTTCTGTAGTGGGTGAATGCAAGTGTTGGCATAATTGGTTCACAAAGAAGGTAATTTTAGGGCGTTTGACAGTACAATATTGAAGAGCCCCCGCAATTTGACGATACTCTGTGATGTCAAGTAGGGGTTCCCTAGAATGAGAAGAGAGTTTGCTTCCAGCAACACAAGGGCCATTATAGGGCTTGGCACCAACCATCTTTGCCCGATGTAGTAAGTTAATAATATATTTGCTTTGACGAAGATGAAGGCCGTGAGAATCTTGAACCACTTGAATACCAAGAAAGAAATTAAGATGGCCAAGATACTTTAAGGTAAACTTAGTGTGAAGCATGGCAATCAATGATGAAATAAAAGGATTACTATGTCCTGTGATAAGGATATCATCAACATATACAAGAATATAAATAAGAATATCATCTTGCTGAAAGGTAAAAAGAGAGTGATCCACCTGAGAACCAATAAAACCCAATTCCTCTTAAAATTGAGAAAGGCATTTGAACCAGGGTCGAGGAGCTTGCTTGAGTCCATAGAGAGCTTTGTTGAGCTTGCAGACATAGTCAGGATAATTAGGATCAATATAACCTCGAGGTTGTTCAATGTAAACTTCTTCATCAATAGTAACATGTAAAAAGGCATTGGAAACATCTAATTGATGAATGTTCCAATTAAAATGGACAGCAATTGCTAAGACCAGTCTCACAGTAGCAGGTTTAATAATAGGACTAAATGTTTCAAAGAAATCAATGCCTTGTATTTGCTCAAAGCACTTAGCAACTAACCTTGCTTTTCGACGATCTATAGTTCCATCCACCTTCTGTTTCATTTTATACACCCACTTAGTCTGAATTATGTTCTGATTAATGGGACGAGGACAAAGGGTCCAAGTTTTATTTTCCAGTAATGCAGCATACTCTTGGTCCATGGTAATCCTCCAATCTTCAGAACTCACAACTTGGGAAAATGTTTTGGGCTCAATGAATGAAGATGTTGTGGTGAGAGCAACGAGATGATATTTAGTGGAGTAGAAAGATATATATTTTGGAAATGTTTTAGGATGAAGAGAACCAGTTTGTGAACGTGTAATCATATGTGTCATAGATTGCTCATTCTGAAAA